ATAAAAAAACAAAATTTACATGGCACTCCTAACAAATTACAAAGGGAAAAAAATCATCTTAGATCAGCTGCGTCACTTCACATCATTCATTCTGATTTTGTTTTGTTTTTTTTCCTTCCCCTGACATGGCACATGGTTAAACCCTAAACTGTTTTTAGTGGATGTTGGAGTAGAGGCTCAGTGCAAAATCCTGCAATTTGTGTGTTTAAAAAAATTAAATGTACCACTATTTATCTACAAATGTACTCATAATTAAAATAAATAAACATATAAACAACCATATGTGATAATATAACAAGAAAATAGGCAGAAAAGAAAAGAAAAGAAGTAAAAAGGCAAAGATGATTACTGTTGATACTGGTATCATGTGTGCACTGGGGAAAGCTGTATCTGATCATTATATTTTATTCATTTTAAAAGGATTGTTTTCACCTACAGAGTTTCTGGGTTGGAAAAAAAAAATAGTAAACTGATCACTGATTAATTAGAGAATGATCTTGGGGGGATTAATTAATTAAAGGGAAGAAAAGTAGAAGAAAATACTTTGGGGTCAGCTAAAATGGCAAAGATAAAATATATTTTTTCATCCTTTATAGTTTCAGTGTGGAAATAAATGTATAATATGAAATTCTATTTACCAACAAATGACATTTAAAAAATAAATAAATAATAATAATAAAGAAATAAACAAAATGGAAAACATTACAGTAAAATAGATCAGGGTCAGTTACAAAGGGTTAAAAAAAGATTAAATTTAATTAAAAACTGCTACTAATTATTTATACTTGTGCCAGTGTACTCCTGAAGAAAGATCTTTGGAAACATTATATCGTATTATGATATTTTTGTGAAAGCATTTTTAAAAAAACTAAATCAGGAACATCAAGAAATCAAGAAAAACGTGAGACTATTTGATAAGAATTTTGTACATACAATATATTTTAAACCAAAAATAAAAATGCAAAAAGTGGTACAGCATATGTGTTAAGATTATATATATTTATAAATAAAAGTATTCATATCTTTAACATGCAGTATTTGACCATTCTCTGGATAGAGAAGGAACATCTGTAAAAACCTAACAAACTAAATAACTTGATAGACCTCTTGTCAATTTGTCCTGAGGGTGTACAAACTTTTACACTCAGCTGTAAAGCTTTGGAGCTGATGTTTACAGTCATGGGCCGATTTTGAAAATCTTTCAGAATATAGGTAATGTTAAACTGTCTGGTTTCTACAAGAAACAAATATGATCACCTCGATAATTTGGAACGAGAGAATTAGAAAGATGAAAAATCTTAAGAAAAAAGAAGAGAAGAAAAAAACTAGATGAGACACTCGAGTTGAGTTTCAAGTTAATTTAGGAAGAAGAAGAAAAAAAACAAATCGCAATGGAATTACTGGTGTAAAGACAGAACTGGAGCACATTTATGGCCATTTTGATCAGATTACATTGAAGCTTGGTACTTCAGAAATCTTATTTTGTTCTGGAGAAATCATAATGCGCGCACCAAGTTTTTGAATTCCTTCCAGCTCATTCATAAACACGGAAAACTTCACATCACACACAGGGTTTTGGGAGAGCAGATTAAAACCAAGCACTCCACTTATTCTTCTGCAGTTTTGGAGTATCAAAAGGAAGACAGCCTTCTTAAAAAAAAAATTTAAAAAAAAGGAAAGAAAGAAAGAAAAATAGCTGGAGAAGCAGATTATCAGAAAATCACCAGTCTCCTGGAATATGACAGGAACGGGAGCCGGTAAGTGTCCGAGCAGGAGAGCGGGACAAACCTGGCTGTGCTTTCTGCTGACGCTCGGCACATCTCTCTCCTGCAATCTACAGCTAATCAATCTGAGAAGAGGGGCGAGGAAGAGAGCGAGCGAATGAACCACGACCTGAACTCATTATCACATGACTGCTCTTAACACACACGAGATAAAGTTTGGGTCATGTTTACTTAATCTCTCTCTCCAGCTAGTTTCTGAGTTTTCCCCTCATTGTCATTCCAAGCCCTGGTTAAAGGGATACTCCAGCATTGTTCAACCTAATCTTAAATTAGTGCAGGTGCAGCGTATGTGTGATTATCACAGGTGAGAATTTCTACACACGTCCCTGCGATGAGGAAAGAACCGAAATCTTGCAGATAAGGATATTTTTGTAGGAAGGTTGTAATGAATTCATCAGTTAAATGAAATTTGGGTGAAATCTAAATGTGTACTTGTTCGTCCAGAGGCGAAGTTGTTGTTTTAGTGTTACCACGAAAACACAAAACCTTCCGAGGAAATGTAAAGTAACCGGGACAACTTTTTCCCCCCCCACACTGTTCCAGTGCTGGAAAGTCGGATAGCTCCACAAGAACTCTGCTTGTCTTTGCCATCCTTCGGCTCCAGAATTCCTGGTTCAATCCTGACTTCAGGTTACTATCTGTGTGGAAATTCCAGTGTCGTCTGTGTGGGTTTCCTCCGGGTTCTCTGGTTTCCTCCCACTTTCCAAAAACACTCCAGTAAGTGGACACTAAATTGCCTCGCGGTGTGCGGTGTGCATGGCGCCCTGTGATGAACATCCAGGGCGTTTTCCTGCCTCACACCCATGTATTCCCGGGATAGACTCCGGATCCACCACGACCCTAATCAGGATAAAGTGCTTAATGAAGATGAATGGATGAACAGCTTTGCAAAGATCTTCTCTCATGTCTGTCTCATCGTAACAGCTTCATTACGGTTGTAGTTTTTAATTTACGTTACATAGCTACACGTTATAAACATCTTTGACACAACCGCCCTTAGGCTTCTCTTATAAATGCGTTTAAAGTGAACAGGTTTCTGTTTTCTCAATGCGGGGAAATGTTTCGATAATTCTTGTCCAGGCTGATCACATGTACACACACATACACACACACGTACATATACGGTAGACAGAGATAGGGTCGGAAAACACTCAGGTATTCCTTTAAATCTTTACTAAATATAAAAACAGGGAAAATATGTGCAAGACTCTGATCTTCTGTTCACTGACTTTCTAAGTGAAGACTACCTGTCACCTCGAGAAAATAGGTTTTTTTTTAGCCCAGTCTGAATAGGCGTCCTCTTTCACTCTTCGAGGCAGATGCACTCTCGGCCTCATTTTCATCTAAATAAGAATCGATCTCTAGCTGCGTGCTTCCCCCAGTGCATGCAACGCGGGGGACTTAACCCCTTTCCCCTCTTCCCCACACACTCACACACATTAGTGTCAGCCTTACTATCCTTGTGAGGACCTTCCTTTGACATAATTATTCATGCAGCTAATTAATGCCTAACCTTAACCTCAGTAACCAATAGAAAACGCTTTGGCTCTTTTTCTTTTTTTTTATAAAAAAAAGTGTTTTTTCCCCATCATAGGGACCAATAAAATGTCTCCACAAGGTCAAAACTGTCAGATCTTTGTGAAAACATTTGGTCCCCACCAAGATATAAAAACACCCCCCTCACTCTCACACACACACACACACACACACCTCCTCTATCTCTCACTACGCATATCAAATACTAATCAACACCAACATCCAGATATCAGCTCTGCAGATAAAACCTTTGCTGAGTGAGCTGTGGTCTAAACAAATCATCGAAACTATCTGCTGTGTGCGTACGTTATATATATATATATATATATATATCTGCATATACATGGAGAGAGAGAGAGATACACACACACGTTTTATATATATATATATATATATATATATATATATATATATATATATATATATATATAAATATATATAAATAAATAATGTACACACACACAGAGAGTACTGTGCAAAAGTCTTAGGCTCCCTATTTTTTTTTAGCACAAACTTTGTTATAGATTGTTTATTTTATGACGTCTACATTATGGATTCAGTACAAAAACATTTTAGATTCCAAACAATAGTTTTCCAGCACGAAATTAAATGTTACAGAAAAATGTTTGTATGTCAGTAAAGAAAGCTGCAGATTATGCAAGAGACACTTTTCAGACAAAAAAAAAACCAGAATGAAGGCTGCTGGGTTTCGCTGCAGAAATAAGAAGCGAGTCGTAGCGAGTCTCCAGAAGAACTGCGGCTGTACAAGATGCTCAGTGACACTTACAGCTCACTTCCTTATAAAACTGCACTAATTGTACCTGAGACTACAAATTTTTCCTTTAAAGCAAAGTGTCATCACACCCAATATCGACTTTGTTTCATTTATTCCTGTTTATTGCTCTTTACAGTGTTTTTTTTAAATGTAGAAACATTTAATTTCATTCTTTTTGAAGGCGTCTTTGCTCTACAGCATTTCGTTGCATGTGCCTAAGACTTTTGCACAGTACTGTATATACATATACACACACACACACATATAGACCACGTGCCATGTCACTATTATTGGCACGAGCAGCTTGGAGGACACGCGTGCATCCTTTCCTTCTTCCATAACGACCAGCTGTGACTTGTGACTGCATCATTTCTCTCTCAAAAGACTGATAGAGGGAGTGAGAGAGAGTGAGAGAGAGAGCGAACATAAGAGAAGATGTGAATGAAAAGCCTGGTTCTGCCTCGGTGGAGAGGGGGTTGGTGTGGTGTGGCTGTGGGGGTGCGTGTGGGGGAGGGGAAACACTCAAACTCATGACGCTCGCGAGGTAGAAAAGGGGAACAGGAAAGCACAATATCCACCAAAAGCTGAGGAAATAAAGATCTGTGCTCAAGATAGATGTTTACTCGAGTATGTGCGAATGAGCAATAGTTTATTTATGAATGTTAGAAGGCAGCATTCAACAGAACAGGAAACAAGTCAGGAAATCAGCACAGATCATTAATACACCATGACACTTATAGACCTAAACATAAGACTGGATGCTATCAAAGAGTGGAAAACTTTTTTTTTTTGCCCCCCCCAGTCATGTACTAGCCTTTGTTTACTCATTTCCAAAGAGACTTACAATCGAGAGAGGATACAGTTGAGTAGTTCAAGGGTTACAAGTCTTGTTCAAGAACCCATGTTGCTGCTGCTGGGATTTGAACTCATGACCTTTGGATCAATAGCCCAAACCCCTTAACCACTGTGCCACCATTTCCCCACTAAAGCTGTCTGAAGTACAGATTCTCAATCCTAGTCCTGGACATTTGCTGGCTTTCTCTCTCTCTAACACAGCTGATTCATTTGCGCAGAGAAAACACAAATATGCAGGACAGGGGGTTCTCCAGGACCAGAGTTGGGAAGCTGGGATATGAAAGAGTGGAAACTGTGTACAAACACCCCCAACCCTTAAACCTTTTTTTACACTGCGGTCATTTAAGATTAACTTTAAGATTAACTTTGGCTGAGTTCTATATCGACTGCGTGATCATGTGTTCTGTATGTCGGATTATACAATGAAGATCCTCTAACGATAGACCTGTGATTACAGATGACATCATGACGCAGGCTGATCCAGGCTCACATAAATAGAAATGTTCAAGGACTTTTTTTTTTTTTTCATTTGCATGTTTTGTTTCTGTTTTAAGTCAAATGCTACCGTATTTGCAGCTGTCCCGTGAGTTTCGTGTCATCCTGAACGGTCCTCCTATTGGCGGGTTTTCATAGCAGAGCTCACATTCCGAGATTTTAATTAAAAAAAACTTCCAACATTGCCAGGACCTTGTTTGGTTGCAATGGCACTAAATCGAGCACAACACATTATTCATTCGAAGAGCTTGGATCTCACGAATTCTTTCACAATGTGAGATTTTCGTCTGCGACTGCAAAATGGGGCTGCAAACCAAACAGTGTTAAGTTGGCTATAATTAATATAAAGCGCAGGTTTCCAGCCCTGGTCCTGGAGTACCCCAGTGTCCTGCACGTTTATGATTTATAACAGCCCTTTCTGAAATGAAGTGGGGGTTTTAGAGCAGAGAAAAAAAAAACACTAAAACGTGTTTTCCAGGACCAGGGTTGGGAACCTGTAGTGCAAAGAAAAAAAAAAAAAAAGAACATGTAAAGCCAAAGCATTTCATTTCATAGTAAAAATCTGTGCACATCTTTCTGTATCCATCTCTCTTAAAACTAATATTTGAGCTGATGTTTGAGAAAACCAACAATAATGGAACTCGGGTAAACAAGTCACAAGTAATATGGAGTTGTATTATTTGGGTTGTAAATGAATCACACTGCCATCTAGTGTCCGACAGTTTTCGAGAAACGTTGCTGCAGTTTATCTCTGGTAATGATTACCTGCTGTTATAATGAGTATATAATTATGTAACACATTTAGGGAACAGATGACACCGGCAATGACACTCCATTTTAAACAGCAAAGCCTTCAGCTCTCAACGTGACACCTTTCAAATGATTTAACTAAAGATTTAAACACGTACGTGTTTAGCGACGACAATTTTTTCCCCCCCTCGCGAAAAGAAAGGTGTATAAAAACACAAAACACAGACTACGGCCGGGCAATATGATAACACAATACTGATATCACGATATAAACCCAGTATGATACTCATGATACTCAGAAAAGTGTATCACTGAATAACAACAGTTAAAGAAGCTACATAACGTAAACTATTTACATGCTAAATGTATTGTCCATAACGGTCCTGATGTTTTGTTGATGCATAATTAGCACAACCAGACTGTAACGTTATGGACAGGTCTTTGTGTATCGTTATTTATATTCGCGTCACACTGTCCAGTTAAACTGCGTTTACTGTCCTGGTAAAATGGACAGGTCTATTGAGAATGCTGTAGAATCTCAACTAAGATGAAGTGGCAGACTGAGGGAGGTTTAGGAGCGTCTTCACCGGGGATGATGGGAGATCCTGGAATCCTGCACTTCGAGCTGTGGTTTAAAAAAAAAAAAAAAAAGAAAGAAAAGAAAAAAAAGGAGTCATAAGTTAAACGGACAGTTTCGATTCTAAAATCTGACTGAGCCACGTAAAATCCTTAAAATATTTTCAGCACAATAAAATTTACACTACAGTATTACAGGATTATAATAAAGCAAGTATAAGATTATTAAACCTATTTCTAGACTTTTTTACTCATTTCAAGCTTTCAGTTTTCTTATATAGTTGGCACATAGTTTTGCTTCTTTCTAAAAAAAAAATTAAATGCTTCATTGAAATTAGCAAAAGTATCTGTCAATAGAACAAGGCCATTTTAAGCGCTAAGTGAACGTTATGACTTTACTGCGACCCCAAGCCGCGACTGTGCTACATTTTTTTCTTTAATTCCAGATTTATAATATAGGACTACTCCTACATTTGAACATTTTCTTCTCAAATAATAATCAAAGGAATATTCCTTGCACTGGTCAGAGCCAAAACGTCCCGGTCCAATGAGAATCCAGGTCAAACTGTAAAACGGTTAGCGATTTTATACACAGTGACGTTAAACACACTGACAAACTCTCTCTTAAACCTTTCCGCTGTCGTCGTGATTATTGTCATGAGCTCAGGCTCAAACTGAAAACTCTGACCTTACCTTCAAAAGTATTTACTAATCTAGAAAATCCAGAAGGTATGGTACGCAAAACAGAGCTTTCGGTAGGTTTTAAGTAGACATGCGGCCACTAACTGTAACAGGAAAACCGGTTAGTATTAGTGTATAGAATAGCACAAAAGTATGCGATTAGAGACCCAACTCTAGCTTGTTTGGCGGAGGTAGATGGAGGTAGAGTGCATTTGTATTGCCTGAACTGCTCTAGTGCAGCATGTCAGGATGGCAAAAAAGACTAAAATAACATGCACCATATTAATTTAAACGTGGCTTGTCTGAATGTGACTTCCAGTAACATTTCAAAATATTAGCACACAAAAATTTCTAATATTAGTTTGTAAAATAACTGCATGACAGAAGAGAAGATTTTGAGTTTTTTTTCACGACCTCATTTGTAAATTTAGTGTGACACACACACACACACACACACACACACACACACACACACACACACACACACACACACACACACCCTCGTCCCTTGTGACCCCTAGTTCAGGAAGCTCTGTTCTTCATAAACACGACTACATCCAAGACATTTTCACTTGATAAGGTTACACTTTTTTGCAGTGTGATCACATCACAATAATTTAATTAAGTTTCAATCCAGTAAAATCATTACACTTAAACCATCTCTCTCTCCACTGAATACACTAATCTTAGTCTATCCTGTTTCTGTTTATTGCAAATATTATTAATAATAAATTACGTGATTTTTAGAATGCTGGATTTGATCATATTGTTTTTGTCACCTTGTAATAAAAGCAATAAGCCATTTGGGGCTTCTCTTCATGCCTGACATCATCCTGTGATAAAATCTTCGTAACGCACGCCCTTTGGTGGTTTATTGCTTTATTCTAACAGGCAACCATTTTCTCCAAAAAGCATTCCTCACCCAGTCGGGCGCTGGTCTCCTTCACCAGTAACTGAGAGTCCTCCTGGAAGGACAGAAGCGCCCTCATCATCATGCACTGCGACTCCAACTGCAAACACAACCACAGTGATAGTCAGCATTTGTTCAAGCACTGATACTTACTTGTTTTTAAAGGATGCACCAATCGCAATCTTTATATCCGAGATGATTTTTAATGAGTTTTGAAATGTTTAAAAGAGCATACACACCTATAATAACTATCATTTTTCAATTACCTTCACACTCCTGATATACAATAGTCTGCTTTTGTCTCTTTGACATTTTTCTTGCCTGGAAACTCGCTTTGCCTCAGCAAGAATTAAGCTGCTCATCACTGCCCTGTCTCTTTAAAGGAAAACTCAAAGCTTTGTGTAGTTTTTAACAAAGAGTACTGGTTGTGAGGAAGATGTTCACAGGGGTGGGCAAATCATAAATATTGTACCTAGCCCACTGGGTAGGATAAAGCACCAGTGTGCTGCCCAGTCCCATGATTTGGTTGCTTGGAAACCTAAAACGTGGTAGCTTATGTAAAGTAATAACGTTGCATGCTAGTTAGCTAGTTAAGTGCCTTAATGCAGACCAAGAAACTGAATAAGTTTGAATTCCCAGGGAGGAGACGACTGCGTAGCCACAGTCCTCATCCTCTACTAATAAATATATTCATACAGTGTTTTGTGCCCTTAACAAAAATGTTCTGTTCTCATGACATGTTAAAATATTATTAAAGATTGACTAGTGTCTATTTTCCTCCTGATATTTTTAACTGCATGTTGCGCTACACTGCAAAAAAGAAATAAATAAAATTAATTAATTAATTAATTTAAAAAAAAGAAGAAAAAAAAAAAAACAAATTTAAGATTCCTAAACCTACTTCTAGACATTTTTACTCAAATCAAGCTTGAAACATATATATATAAAAATCTACATACACACACAAGGGTTACACAGATTTTATGTCCGGTCTGTTATTTATTTATTTTTTTTTAATTCCTAGTTGGCATTATGTATAAGAAGCATCACTGCAAAGCATCACTTCCTGTCTGTGATGTAGTGTTTCTTAGACACTCCCTAGTTCTAGTTCTCTGCGAAACAGCATGGTGCAGTGGGGAAAAAAATGAACAACTAATGCCTTCCATTCCACGAATCCTCCTCTGTTTAAGAAAAAGGAGCATTTCATTATAAAACGGAAGATTTACGAGGTTTAAGGTGACTGTAACGCTGGTGCCATCGTAACTGCAGTGTGTGTTCTCACCACCAGCTCCATAGTGTTGAGGACTCTCTGCTGTCTCTGCAGCACTGCATGGTAATCGGGTTTATTCAGGACGAGTTTGCTCTGAGAGGACTGAGCGAGGCAGGACGGGTCCAGCTTCACACCTCTCTCCTGTCCCTCCTCCACTCTTCTGCACATGATACACAACACAAAATGGAGGGTATTTAAAGGGATTAAAGTGGGAACTGCTTTATATGAGTAGTGTGTGTGTGTGTGTGTGTGTGTGTGTGTGTTTTCGCACTCACTTGGCCAGCTCCTCCGCTCTGGAGCGATGTTTATTTAGGAGCGACTCCCAGGACAAACTCTCAGCCTGCAGCCTTAAACATTGGATTGCACAATATTAATAAAATCATTCGATAAGATCTGAGTTAAGATTAATAGCTCTATGATGATTTAAAATTGTAAATGAATC